CCCGCCCCCCTCTCCCCTCTCCCCAACTCCCGCTCTCAGACACACACACACACACTCATCGCCTGCCTCTCAGGTGGTTGTTCTCACGAGGCGGTGCTTTCCAGTTTCCTGCCCTCCCCTCCGCTTCCGCCGCAGGATCGACCGTGCGACCTAAAAGCTGAGGAACATTGGCTAGGTCGACGCCAAGGTCACAGCCCGGTCAACGCGTGTCCCTTAGCACCTGTCCACCGCACCAAAATTCGTATATTTTTTTTGTGTTTTTCCTTCTTTCTTTTTTTTTGCTATTTTTGTTGTCAACAGTTCTGACCGCGGGCCGTGGAGCGAGCTGCTCTCTGAACGCCTGCGCCCCGGAGCGGAGAGCGATCAATCACTCGAATAGAATTAAAATCTCGCGCGCTTGGCGTCGCCCTGCGGTGTTGGGGCGGGGTGGGGCGGGGCGAGGCGTGGTGGGGCGTAGCGGCGCTAGATCGGTGCGAGAGCGCATCTCCGCGGGCAGAGAGGGGGAAGGGGCTCGCTGAGTGCAAATAACGCTCCCCCAGAAACGTTTCACTCCGCCTTTCCACCCTCTTGATGAGCGCCTCGCGAGCGCTGCAGAGCGCCATCGCTGGGGTAAAAGGAGAGGAGTGAGGAAGGCTGATTGTGCATGTCAAACGGATATCGTAGACGTTGCGTCGCACATATTGCTTCAAATATTGGAAATGTTGCCTCCTGCTCGACGAGGAAATTTGATGGGTCCCTCTGTACGTGAGCTCTATTCTGGCACAACGTTTGTAAATATGTAATCGATAAACTGACCTACACTTTTTTTGTGTTCCGAATTGACTTTCTTAAACGTAGCCTCCAGAGCACCGCCCAACCACATCAAGCGCCAGCCTGCGGGCGAGCTGGGCCCCCAGAGCGCACGCGTCAGGCTCGGCCGGGGCTCGGCCGGGGCTCGGCCGGGGCTCGGCCGGGGCTCGGCCTCGCGTCCAGCGCGCGCAGCGATGGTTTTGATTGGTCGATTCTTTTCTGGCCGGCGCCTTTCATGGGATTGATTTGTTTGCGTCCGGAGGTGAGCCATGCATAATTCATGTTGACATAGAGCTCCGTGCATATTGATGGCTGACTAGGCCCGTCAGGCCCGCCGCCCGGCCGCGTCCCGCCGCGCCCCGCCGCGCCCCGCCCCGCCGCGCTGCGCCACGCCGCCCCTCCGAGGGCTCATTTCACCCTATGTTTATTTAACACCCCTGCGCTCTGAAATCCAATTGCACCAGCGCCCCGGCCCGCCGAGCCAAAGCCGAGCTGGAGAGGTCCAGGTCGGAGGACCGCCGTCTGCGCCGCGGCGCCCGCCGGCCAAGGTCTGCCCGGCTCCACGGGGCCGCCGCGCCACGTCGCGCCACGCCCCGACCAGCCACGCCCCCGCCCCGACGGGTCTCGGCCAAATGCCGATTAGCCGCGGATGTCTTGGCGGACTGGGTTACACTATGGAATCTAGAAGAGGGAGAGAAATGGAAAAGAGGAATACGAGGAAAAAGCGGGGAGATGAAGGCGGGGGAGGAGGAGGAACGACCTCATCCATCGCCGTAGGCCTGGCCTGGCGATACCATGTATTTGGCCTTTCCAGTGCGGCGGCAGGCGGCCGCCACCCCGGCTTCTCTCATCTTTTTTTATGCCCCCCCCCCCTCTCGGTCCCTCCCTCATCCTCACATCGCCACCCCTCCTCCCGCTCCACGGTGTCCGCGCCTTTTCATCCATCCCGTAGCGCCCCGGCCGTTCTTAGGACCCTCGCCTATTCGCTACTCAATCCAGACCCACCCCACCGCGTCTTCATCCCCTGCAGCGGCGGGGGGG